ATTACAGGCATATGCCATCACGCCCAGCTAATTTTTGTATTTTTGGTAGAGACGGAGTTTCACCGTGTTGGCCAGATTCGTCTCCAACTCCTGACCTCAGGTCATCTGCCCACCTCAGCTTCCCAAGGTGCTAGGGTTACAGGCATGAGCCACCACACCCGGCCAAGATACTATTTTTAATTTTTCAATTGCTGCCAGAAAAGCAATTCTTTCCCAATAAGTCTCATCCAGTTTGAACTGTTCTGTCATGATAGCTTTTAAAGTACAAAAATGTTCTCTATGCCAGGCACAGTGGCTGATGCCTATAATCCCAGCATTTTGGGAGGCCTAGGCAGAAGGATTGCTAGAGCTCAGGAGTACAAGACCAGCCTGGACAATATAGTGAGGCCTCATATCTAGTAACAAAATTTAAATTAACTGAGCATGGTAACATGCCAGTAGTCCCAGCTACTCAGGAGGCTGAAGTAGAAGAATCACTTGAGCCCAGGTGAAAGGTGCAGTGAGCCAAGATCACGACACCGAACTCCAGCCTGGGTGACAGAGTCAGACCCTGTGTCTGAAAAAAAAAAAAAAACTGTTCTCTAAAGACAATAAGTGATTATTATTTTAAGCCACTAAATTTTGGGATAATGTGTTATGCAGAAATATACAACTAATACTGCACATAAGCATATTTCTTATTGATTTGTTAGAGATCTTTGTATTGGCAAAGTTCAGTTTGCCCTTCGATTTGTTTTCTTATGTTTTTAGAATTTTTTAAAAAATCTCTTGGCTGAGCATGGTGGTTCACACTCATAATCCCAACACGTTGGGAGGCCAAAGCAGGAGAATTGCTTGAGCCCAGGAATTTGAGACCAGCCTGGGCAACACAGTGAGCCCTCATCTCTACCAAAAAAAAATCAAAAAATTAACCTGGTGTGGTAGTGTGCACCTGTAGTCTGAGCCACTCAGGAAGCTGAGGTGGGAGGATTGCTTGAACCCAGGAAGTCAAGACTTCAATGAGCCTAGATCACACCACTGCACTCCAGCCTAGGCAACAGAGTGGGACCCTGTCTCAAAAATAAAAATCTCTGAAGTCAAAAAATGCTTACATTAATTTGAAAGTTCCCTTTGGAAACTTATTATGATACATGAACTGAATTTAAATTTTAGTTAAATAATATGCACACACATTACTCAAACCATCAACACACGAAATCAAAGGAAAGTTGTCCACAGGGCAGAATTTGGTTCTGTGTTTACAAGTTATGGCCAGCATGTACACACAGATTGCCAATATTCATGGGCGTATAACAAATAAATGTTCTAAAATAAGGTATATGTGAAAATCAGTACAAGCCTTTCCAAGTTTCCCTCACATGCTTAGACTCTAGACCAGGGTTGGCAACCTTTTCCATAATAGCCCAGATAGCAAATACTTTAGGCTTTTCAGGCCATAGGATCCCTGTAACAACTATGTAACTCTTCCCCTGTAACCACAAGCAACCATAGACAATACGTAAATAAATGAAGGTGGTTGGGTCCAAATAACGGTTTATTACAAAAACAGGAGGCAGCTCAGATACAGCCTGCATGGTGAATCCCCATCTCTACTAAAAATACAAAAATTAGCTGGGCATGGTGGCGGGCACCTGCAGTCCCAGCTACTCGGGAGGCTGAGGCAGCAGAATCGCTTGAACCCAGTAGGCAAAGGTTGCAGTGAGCCGAGATTGCGCCACTGCACTCCCACCTGGTGACAGACTGAGACTCTGTCTGAGAGAAAAAAATTAACCTTCGATTAGGAAAAAAAAGCCCATAAGAATTGAGCATAATTTTAATGGGTTCACAGACCACTTAGAGCCTATGCATGGACAACTGGATATCCAAGGACCTCAGGTTTTTCCTTATTCTCTTCCATTTTCTCCTTTTTTCTTCTTTCTTCCCAGTCCTACCCCTAATTCTGTCTCCATCACCAGTTTCTTCCCACAATACAATGGAAAGAACTCAAAGAGACCTGGGCTTGAACCTTAGCTTGCTCACTTAGTTTTGGCTTCCCTGTCTTGGGGAAAGAAGAGCCCCAAAAAAGTATGAGTAGTGTCAGAGGGGAAAGCAGGCCAAGTTTCTGGATCTTGCTGCCAGAATGAAAGCTAAGGCCTGAGTTAGGCCTTAATTGGGCCTAAGATTATCTCTGGGGTTAACCACTGGTCCTATCTGAGAGCTCTCAACTACCCTTATGGTTTCATTTAGTTTAAATAGTCACAGTGATGCTGTATCCCACATTTTCTGGGAATAATCACAATTCCCAACATCTGTAGTTTCCATAAATATCCTTATAAAGGCAAGATCATATGTTCTGATGTTTGCTTTAGGAGGAAAAAATTCACTATAAGTAAAGTCCATCTTGCTAGATATTTCACTCTTCAGTTTTAATTTCTTCAGGACTAGGAAACAGATTATTTTTCTATTATCTCTTGCCTATATCCTTCCTTCTTTTTTTTTTTTTGAAAGGGGCTTGCTCTGTCACGCAGGGTGGAGTGCAATGGCATGATCATGGCTCACAGCAGCGTTGATCTCCCAGGCTCAAGTGATCCTCCCACCTCAGCCTCCCAAGTAACTGAGACCATAAGTGTGTACCACCACACCTGGCTAATTTTTTTCTTTTTAAGAGATGGAGTCTCCCTATGTTGCCAGGCTGGTGTTTCTTAATTTTTCAAATCTTTGGTAGAGAAAGAACCAAGGGAAGAAAGTGAGAGAGTCATTCATTTATTTAGTCCACAAGTATGGAGCACCTAAATGTGCCATGTACTGTTACAGATGTCAAAAGTTTCCACCCTGAAGGAGCTTTCATTCTGATGGGAAGAGAAAGACAGCTGGGCATGGTGGCTCACTCCTATAATCCCAGCGCTTTGGGAGCCGCGAGGCGGGGGGTGGATCACTTGAGGGCAGGAGTTCAAGACCAGCCTGGGCAACATGGTGAAACCCTGTCTCTACTAAAAACACAAAATTAGTCGGCGTGGTGGCACATGCCTGTAATCCCAGCTACTTGGGAGGCTGAGGCAGGAGAATCACTTGAACCCGGGAGATGGAGGTTTTGGTGAGCCGAGATCGCGCCATTGCACTCCAGCCTGGGCAACAAGAGCGAAACTCCATTTCAAAAAAGAAAAGAAAAGAAAAGAAAAAGATAAAACAAATGCATAAAAAGTATAGTATGTTGGGAAGCAATAAGTGCTACAGAAAAAGTAAAGTACAGGCTATGAACAGACACTGGGGGTTGGGAAATGGGCTGCAATTTTAAGTAGGTCAGGAAACACCAGTGAGAAAGATTATCAGACAATGTCACTGCTCCACTTAGGTCCCCTCCTTTTTTTTTTCACCGTTTTTGGGCCACCCCTTTCTTACTATAGTGTGCTTTATTCTTAACATCCAAAACCTGCAGTGTTTCTTCAGAGGATTCCCTAGAGACAACACCACGCAGCGCCTCCCCAGCACTGCACTTGCCTAATCTCCCCACTATAACTCCAAAGGCAGGGAAGAAACCAGGCTGGAGTTGCTGGACAATGCCAGAAAAAGGTACTGGAATCCCTTCTGAGGCCTTTATGTATCGTACATTAATTCTTGACATGTCTCTGATGCTTCTGTATTTTTAACTAAGCACTTTCATGTACATTTCCTCAAGCACCACTTGGGCCGCCGTCCACACGGCAGATGAATCTCCTTTAGTCTTTCTCTTGAATGTGCTCTTCAATTTCATTAATCTCTATTCATGAGTATAACAATATCGGAAGAATTGGACAGTTCCTGGCTTTGCAGACTTCTAGAGATGCGTCTAGTCCCTGCTGGCATACTCAGGGTGGGGGCTAAGGGCAGTCCAAGAATTCAGCCTCTCTAAATGTCAACTGTTTTCAAGTAACCATAGGTCAGGGATCCCATCTGTTCATTCTCCCTCCATATAAAAATCCATCAGGTGTTCATGTATTCAAAGAAGAGGCTACTCACTCCACCTGGTAAACCAACATACTCATGATTTAGTGGAAAGAGCCCTGGAGTAGCACAGAGGGCTGCCTCAGGACACACTTAACTGAGCATCTAACAATGAATGGGTCAAGCCCTTCGTAGGCACTGGCAATGGGAAGATGACCAATACAGACAGCGGAACCTTGCTTTCAAGGCCTTCATAAAGCGCCGGAGATGACAAACAAACACGGTCAGATACAAAGGGTCGGGTTCAGGACGCCAATCATTATAATCAAAAAGCCGCGGAATACAAAGGAAGGATTACTAGGGGTACGTTCCAGGAGGGCATCACAGAGAGACCTCTGAGCTGGATCCGGAAGGACAGATGAGCTTAAGCTGAAAGTGGGGACGATAGTTCCCGGTGGCGGGAACCGAAGAAGCCGAGGCAGCGTTGGGGCGGAGCCCAGGTGACACCCGCGGTGCTGCAAGGACACACAAGCTGTGGCAAGCGGGGTCAACTTCTCCGCGCCTTGGCTCAGAAACCTGTGACGATCACACCCTAAAAGCGCTTGGAAAAACTGTAAAACTGCGAGGCGCCTGTGAGGACGCAAACGCCGCCAAGCGAGTCCTCCACGCCTCCATCCCCGACTTAGTGAAATCTAGACTGGCCCACAGCCGAGAGGAAAGAAAGACCGGGGGTCGGGGAGGGCCCCTCCGGGGGCGGGCTCTGCCGGAGCCTGGCTGAGCTGCGCGCTGCCACAGTGGTTCCGCGGCCTCGGGCTGAGCGCTTCCCGCCGTCTCCCACCGCGGTCCCCACCGCCCCTCTGCAAGGCTCGGCGTCTCCCGACACCTCCTCGGTCGCCGCGGCCGCTCCCGCTCCTCACAGCCGCGAAGCCCGGGCCTATCCCGCGGTCGGGCCTCCTCGGCCCTCTTCGCCGTGACGAATCGGCGCCCGGTTGGGAAAGTATCCAAATTCGGGGAGTTTTGAGAGCGAATGGGGCCTGAAAAAAAATCTCTGAGTGTGCTAAGCATCACCGCGTCCTCATTAGATGTTTCTTTTTTCTAAAGAGGGTCGGGTGGGGCCTGGAAAAAAATTAAGAAGAGTGTGGAAAGTGCCAGTGCGGAAGCTCCGGACGCGAGGGGCGGGGCGTGCGCGGGACAAAGGGAAGCGAAGCCGGAGCTGCGGGCGCTTTTTCTGCCCGCGGGTGAGTGTTTCCAAGTGGGCCGGACCGGGTCGGTGGGGGCAAGTCGTGGTGTCCCCGCTTGGCTGGACCCCGAGTTCCCTGGGGTTGCTGGGGTTCAGGCTTGGCCGTGGGGCCGGAGCCGGGAGCCGGATGCGGCCTCCTTGAGGCCTAGCAGAGCGAAGGTTGGGAGTCCCATCTGGGGCCCCCTCCTTGGAGGCAAGGCTAGTCCCCTGAAATTGGTCAAAGCACCTGTGCATACCGCGTTTTAGGGGAGTTGCTAGTCAAGTACGTTCACCAAGACAAACTTAAAGAGAGCGACCTCAGGAAGCCCGCGGTCAAGGCAAGTCCGTGGTTCTCACCCCCAGGAAGAAGGTTCCCCCATTGGTTCAGGCAGCGACCTGAGGACTCGCAGTGTGGCTTAGAGTGATGGACGGAGCTCTGAAATAGTTTGGCCTGGGTTTGAAACCCAGCTCTGGCACTTGCTGGCTGCGTGTGGCTTCAGACAAGTTATTTGCACTCTCCGAGACTCCGTTGCTTCATCTGTGAAATGGGGATAACTGTACATATAAAGTACTTGTGACTGTTAAGCGAAATAGTTCATAAGCCTACCCCGTATAAAATATTCCTTGAACAAATGTTTATCGGGTATTTATTTTTATGCCAGTCACCAAGGATGGATCCAGCAGTGGACAAATGTACAAGCCCACTCTTAAATTTTATATTCTAGCAGAGGAGAGCAATAATTTTAAAGTATTAACAATGAGCTTATGGCAGTTGTCAGGGTCCCCTGCAGCGAGGCCTACTGGTTGTTGACAGCTCCCTTAATGTGAGCAGAAAGGAAATCTACACGAGTCAAAGGTTTCTGACTGTTCTTTAAGAGGGAATGACTCAGGTTGGACCATTGGGAAAATAAGCTGTTTCTTTCCGCACCAGGACTCATTCCTTATGCTCCCGGGAATTTCCTTAAAATGAATGCTAGAAGCAAAAAATCGGGCCTATTTTACACAATTTTGGATGCAAATACCTCCAATAGTCATCGAAGTTTGTCTGCCTTCTTTCTAAAGATGAATTTTTGTCCTTTTGTACCTCACTATTTGTGATATATGTTGATGTAAAGAACAAGCTCACATGAGTCTGGTCATGTTGTGAGCTGGTAATACTAGGACAAAATTTCCTAAGAATATAGCTAGGCCCTGACATGGTCCCTGTGTCCAAGTAGCATACACTCTAGCCATATTGACAAGTTTTTAAAAAGTTATAGTAATATCATAGATCTGTGTAAACTGTATAGGAACACAGATGGCAGAGCAATTCTCCCCAGGTAATGTATCAGGAAGGTTCCACTGAGGAGATAAATTTTGAAATGGGTTAAGGATGAATAAAAGCTTTTCAGGTAGACTCTCAAAATTTATTCCCAGCATTTATGAAGCTATTTACCACCATAAGAGAATATGAAGTTCATTGTCATACCAGTTACCTTTTGCACTGCTTCCAAGAATAAAATGCTGCCCTATATTAATAAAAATTGTTATCCCAGAAGCATGGTACAGTTGCTGATCAGGGAGCTGTCAGTATCTGGTAGGCCTTGTTGAGTTGGACCCTGATAGTACATCACATTCTATTCTCATCCTTGTATCAGTCTAAGGAAATGTTTACATGGTGTCAGCAAAATGTTTTTCATTCTAGAGGTGGCTTAGTATCACAAGAAAAAGAAACCTGAAAGTACATTTCTAAATAACCCCAGTACTTTATTTTAGTCATTTAGTTCTAATCAACCAAATGACCTTTAAGAACCAGTTAAAACATGCAGAAGGCTTAATTACTAGGAATTAAGGTGAAGTAATTTTACTCAGAAATCCCAATTAAATTACCCTGTTCATTAGGAAAACATTCTCGTATGCTTGCTGAGTTTTGATTCTCTTTTTTTTTTTCCTTTTTTTTTTTTATTTTAGTGTCTCAGATTCATTCTTAAGGAACTGAGAACTTAATCTTCCAAAATGTCAAGTAAGTTTCAATTTTTATATTTATCAATCTATGTTAATAAGAGACTAATGCCCTAGCAAGTGGGAATTCCAAAATACTCTCATTTTTTTTTCTTCAAAACAGGACCATTGGTAGTTTTGTTGCATAGTATTATATCTCAGTTGTTTACAAGAAGTTATTTATTTTCTTTCAAACAGAAAGACCATCTTATGCCCCACCTCCCACCCCAGCTCCTGCAACAGTAAGTTTTAATTTTCTTGTTAATGTAATAGCCAAGTCTGGCCTTGATACAAAAACCCAGATAAAAAAAAAAAAAAAAAACTAAAAAAAAAAAATAAAAGAAAAAGAAAGAAAGAAAAGAAAAAAGAAAAACAGAAAAACAGCACTTCCTACTAAATAAAATAATTATCTGCATCTTTCCTTGAACCAACCCCAACATTTAAAGAAACAATACTGTAAAATTCCAACCTCCTATGCTCAGTTTGTTTTTTCTTTGTAAATGGAAAGTGACAATTTTAACACTTCTTATTAATCTTCACTATTAAGAGTCTCTAAGTTAATACTGAGTGAATGCTCATTCTGGCTTTTTTGTTAAACCTAACCTTCAACTGGTTATGTTTTTTTCTCCTTTCTTGTCTCTCTATAAAATTTTCATATTAAATTAAACAATAAAGCTTCTGAAACTACACTCATTGTAAGTATTTTCAAGCTGTTCAAGTAAAGATTTCATTATCTATGGGTCAGATCTTGTTATTGAATGTTACTCCATTCCACAAATTACATTTTATTGGTTTGGAAGTATATATGTTTTTAAGGTATCTGAAAAGTAGTTGTGAGCATGGTTTTTCACCCAGCAAGCTCTGGCCCAGCTTGGTCAGCATGTAAAATAATTTTCCAACCCACAAAATAGATTTAACAGTAACTGTTGAGGTCTTGCTGAAATGGCTTCCTTGTTGGTTTTTTGGGTGGGGGGTTTTGTTTGTTTTTTAAAAAAACACTGTTAACATGACCAGATTCTACAAAATTAGTTATTTAATATTAATCCTTCCTTCCATAGCCCCTACCATCTAAATTTCAGGCTAGTCTACTTTTCACTACTAATTAGGTCCTTGTGTAATTTTGTTTTCTCCACTAGAAAACTACCCATATTTACTAACCCTCAGATGTGTATTTTAGTTACATTTATCAACAATTTGTTTTTCCTTAGTGAGATGCTTTCAAAAAAAGATTTTGTACCATATGTTCTCATTTCAATTTATATTATATACAGGCTCTAAAGTTAATTCCAGTAGACCGTAAAGTCCCGTGCTTGGTTTGTTTTCTTTCTTAAATCCAAGAACATTTGTTATGACCATCTCCATGGCATTCTGCTAGTGGCTATACAGGTGGAGCTGAACAATTGAGATTCTGACCTCAAAAAGCTAACCATGTACCTCAGCTTTGGAAATGGTGTAATCATAATGTTTTGCTTTCCATTTTTTTTAGTTCCCTTATTTTTCTAACATTATTGCCTCATAATGGTGAACAGTGATTCTTATTATTTATGCAACCTTTGAAAGTGTCATTTTGACATAAATATCGCCTCTGACAATGTATAATATCTTGAGGACAAACTTGATTTTTTGAGATTAAAATATTTCAAAAACCAAGTGTCCCCTTATAATTTCTTATGTGTAAAAAGGGACTTTTTTGCCTTTCTTTAGTTATATTTTTGTGCCATTATAATTTCACATTAACACACAAAATATAGAAAACTAGGGATTAGAACATCCAACAGAATGGATACTAAATGAATTATTCTCCTTTCTTTTTTTCTTTCCATTACTTCTACCGCTGCCACCACCACCATCACCACCACTACCGCCACTCTCACCTCCACCACCCAAATGTACCACTCCAAGTAATACACACTTCTTTCGTGCCTTTGATACTTCAGCTGTGTTTTGCCTACTTAAATATGCTTTATTTGCGTCTTTTTTAACTGTATAGAGTAGAAATTGATCAGCCGTTCTCTTTTTTCCTAAAGAGTATGAAATGTCATCTCTGCTTAAATGTCTTTCTTTTGGGTACTAAGGATATGTGCAGCGGCATGTTTTAGGAAATTGTGTTTATTTTGTAACAGCTACAGCTTAGTTGGAATGTGTTAAGTGTATTTTATATCATACAATTAAGGACTGATAATTGTTAATTGCATGTAAAAATGAAATTGTCACATATTTTGACTGAGTTTTACAAGGTAAAATGCCCTAATTTTGGTCTCTCTCTACTACATTCTTTCTATGCATTATGCCTTGGTTCTCATGAACATTGAGTGTCATTGTGTTAGCCCCAAGGCCATTGTTATCTAAGAGTCCGTTGGTGATTACATCAACACATACTTCACAAAAACCAAGAGTTCTGTTGCTGAAATGAGCAGTTGTGTTTTCAAAGGGTGAGAGCTATCAGGAAACTAGATGAAAAAAGAAAAAATGTAGTTTACATTGAGACTAAATGCAGAACTTTTTTCATGATTGACCTATGGAAGATGGATCAAAGAAGAGATGGAAGAGAAATCCTGTAAAAGAATGACTGGGTTAAAAAGATCAGACAGTACCCCAGAATGGAATCCATGCATTTCTTACAAGTCTTTGTTTTAAATCATGTATGTGACATCCATCAGATCCAACATATGTTATTTTCAATTGACAAATCCTGGCTTCCTGATTTGAGTCTCTTCTCATTTCTCACATTATATAAAATTATTTAAAACTGTCTTTGAAATCAGATCCATTTCTTGTTTTTGTTTTTAGTAGATGAATACATTGGTGGCATCCACATAACTGTCAAATAAATTGTGTTTTGTTTTGCATGTAGTGTTTTCAGAGTTCTAGTTTATCACACTTCAACCCTTCCTATCTCAGTCTTCATATATTGCCAAGTTGTTATATCCTATTGTTGACCATAAAGTAATCCTGAATGTTTTAAACACTTCAGTGTATTGCTTACCTCAAAAAACAACACGCACATTCACAGTCACACAAACACCCCCAGCCCCTACAAAAAAGAAAGAGAAAAACAACCAAAAGACACTGCAAACAGGTTTCTCAATGAAAGAAAAATATTTAATTTCCTCAGTGAAAAAAAAGAACAATTACAACACATCATTGCTTGTTTAAATTCAGGTTGCTTTTGCATGCCATATGCAGATCATTTTTCATTTCTGTGTTTTCCTCGTTTGAGCTCATTTCTCATTCGTGTTTTTGTCTCATTTGTTTCCATCAGCAAATGCCCAGCACACCAGGGTTTGTGGGATACAATCCATACAGTCATCTCGCCTACAACAACTACAGGCTGGGAGGGAACCCGGGCACCAACAGCCGGGTCACGGTAGGAGAATCAACTATTACAGCATCCGGCAAACAACTGGAATTGACCAGAAATGCCTTCAGAATTAGGTCCTTTTGAATCATAAGCACAGCCATTTAAACAAATTTTTTTAACCTGGCTTTTTGACTATTTTCAACATTCGTTGTAGGATCTCACACTGAAAAAGAGTGAGATCTGGAATGTGTATGGAAGAAAAGGAAAATCCATTATTCTGTTTGGTGGTTGGTAGGGATAAAGCCTTGAGCACTTGATGCTTATACTGTATGTAAACAATCAGAATTTCATATGGTAAAAATACCCTTTTTGACGTAAAGAGTATCTTTCATTTTTCTAAGGTGATTGGCATTAGTCTCAAGGACTCAGTTTCTGGTAAAGGCTGGGCTTTCTGACCTGGCTTTTTCAGGTCTGGAAAGCTTTTGGCTGGCATACCAGTTTGAATCACTACCCATAGTTATTTGTCTTTTGGATTTGATAATTGACCTTCTAACTGAAACTCATTTCTCTCTAGTAAAAAAGAGAAAAACGTTTTAATGTCACCTCAAAGAAATGCAGAATAAAGGCTGAATGAAATTAATTTGAAGTATCGGACAGGATATGCACAACGAGAAGTGCGTTTTTAATCCTTAGTATAAGATATGATTTCTGAAACTTAGGATATTTCATTTAAATGATCGGCCCAAGATACCAAAATTGGATGATACACTTCAAAGCTTTTATTTTAGAATCATCTTAAATTTCATTCAAAAAAGTTTAGGTACCAAAAAACGCCAATAATTATAAAAATGACTTACTAAAAATAAAAATAAATCCAAAAGTCAAATACTTAACATACGTTGGAATGTAGTGTTGGTGAGAATTTATACAACCCAGAATGGCTGTAAAGTTTTTAATACCTGGTTTTCGTTTGCTGTGTTCATAAATAACAAGTACCTTCTATTAATGTAACTTCAAAAAAGCCCTCTCACCCTGTAGTCAAGCTAGAACTGAAAGCTTGTAGCTATCAAATGAATGTCTATCTTGATAAGCAAATTGCTTAGCTTGATAGGTTTTGTTTGTCTAAAATTTTTCATTGTTTCTGCATAATTTGTACTTCATAAGCATATCAAGTTTTTATGTGCCATGCATATTTCATGGTATCTGAAAAGAATTCTGACAAAGTGTGTGTATGTATGCATTTCACAATGCATACAATTTTTATGTGCATCAGTACATGTTTTTCCCTGGCCTAAATGTGTTGCTTCACAAGTGTAATGGGTGACAAGATTTTAAATGATAAAGAACATTTTAATTTAAACAATGAACAGAACCAATTGTGGATCTTCATGTTAATGCAGAAATTTTTTCACTGGCAGTAAACAAGAATGATTGCATTTAATAGCTCTATACAGTCACCTCTTGATTATCTATGTTAATGGAATAGAAATGGTAACTATAATATGACAATAATTTGTCTTTTGGTTTGTGTGAGCATTTTGTTCTTAACTTGGATTTAGCTGTGGGGGATTCTTTGTTAATAAAGTGAGATTATTCGATGGAGACCAGGAAGAGAACGTGTACTCCCTACTGAATCATTCATCTATTTCTTCCCATTCCTTCTTGGCGTGTTAAGAACCAAGCATTTGGTGTGGATACTAGCTTCATGGTAGATTAAGTATAGAGTTATTGGGCATGGAAAATTTGGTGTTTTGGTCCTTTGTGGAGATTTACTTTGTATTATTGTCTTCTTAACACCAGATTGACGTATAATCAAACTGCTACATGAAGGACCTAGAAAATGTGGAGGTTTTATACTACTTGCTCTGTTTTTTCTTTATCTAATTTAAGCTGTGTTAGGACTCAATGGCTCTGGTTTCGACCATTATAAAAGCATTTTGATTTTACTATGACCCTAGTTATGTATTACTTTTGGGGGTGAGGGGAAGCTCCTATTAAGTATTGTTGCCTGCAGATTGCGTTAGTGATTTTCAAGGAATGGGTTTGTGAAGCCCTGTCAAGTAGCTTCTGGTAGGCCATAGAGAACATTGGGTTTCCCTGATGACTCCAGTACACTTGGATCGTTTTCAGACAATAAATACTCTATATAGCATGTTGAGATCTTGTGGAGTGCTTATGATAGCTATGCGTTGAAATTGACTCCTAGTCAGTTCTTCATTCAGATTATGATTAGCATTTTCTTAAGTACAGGTGTGAAAACAGATTGAGACAAAAATGTCTTTAAAAACAGCCTATTTCCTGTACATTAATAGAAATTCTGTCCCAGAAGAAACCCCTTAATAAGACCCTACTAGAGAAACAGCTGAGAATTGCAAAAGAAACAACAAAAAACTGAGTAACCAAGATGAATTTCACAAAATCATGGACGTTATTCATAGGAGATTTCCTAGGACGTTGCTCTTATGTAATAAGCACAGTTCCACTCACCTCCCCATTGGAAACTGAAGGCAGAAATTTGGAGAGAGAGTTGTGCTACAGGTGGATTTCCTGATAGTAGCAAGGAAAGAAACAGTTCAAAAATGGAAACACACTCTCCAAAAGCATAGCCCCTGGGCCATTTAGTAAAAGAGCCAACAATAGTTTTTTTACATTTCACGCATCTGACAGAGGGTTACAGCACAGCAAAACAGTGGTTGTTTCTACTTGACTCTTACCCAGAAAGGGTCTGAAGTATGTTTAACTCTTTTTTTTTTTAAAGAAATGTTTAAGACATTGTAGAAAGATATCTCTCTGAGACATTAAATAAATTGGAGGTGTGTAATGATATAAATGTACCATCACCTGAAAACCATCTGGAATTTAACTTTATTCTTGTTTTGGTTTTTTTTTAAGTTTTGGGGTTTTTGTTTTTGTTTGTTTGTTTTGGTAAGTTGACTGGTCTCAATATATAGATGATTTGTGTACCTTTCTTTGGGAGAAAGGAGGGGAAATAGCAAATCTATTAATATAAAATGTGATTCTTTGAAAAATATCATAAATACTACTATGTTTTTAAAGTGTTTTAATTCATACTTAAAGCTTGAAAGCATAGGCATTTTAGAATTCTTTACCTCTTTAATTAAAAAAAAAATTGACAGTGGTCTTACTACCTCAGTGACGGGCACAATCCAACTTTATTTGTAACCCACTTCATGGAATTCTGAAGACTTCTGTTGGATATGAGTTGGAAATGTTGAAGTCATGTATATTACTTTCTAATAACTTTATATGTGAAGAAGCAGCCTTTTGTGTATCTGTTCCTCTGAATCCATAAGGTTAGCCTTACAGGCATCTCCTTTCCCCTTGAAAGAACTCCTACAAAACCTGATGCAGGTTTCCCCTTATTGGCTGCGCATCCCACCACTTGTGAGTTTCCATGCCTCCTGACCATCTCTGTTGCCCACTGCTGGCTGAAAACAGGGTCTGTCTACCTGGGCACTGGCATGAGGTGTGGTAAGAATGCATGGGAGGAATGGAAAGAAAGGAAATACTGCTTCTAAGCCAAAATGCTTTTTAATAACTTCATATATGAAGCAGCATTTTAGGGAAGGAGAGAGACCCTTGTAGGAAGAGGAAACATTTCTTGATCATAGTGGAAAGGGACACAAACATGCTCATCCCAGAGCCCTCGAATGCAAAATAAGGTTATAATTGGGGTCCCAGCCCAGAGTGGAGGAGTATCTCGGGTTTTATCACAGCAGCAATAGAAGAGGAAGCAAACAAAATGTCACTTTAGTTTTCTTACAAGGATTTGCCAATCCTGTCTTTTGATAATTAGTATAAAGCCAGCACTGCTTTTCTCTAGCCTACCAGGGAGAGTCAGTATCAGAGATCTCCTGAAAATTTGCAGATTGTCTGAAATAGCAATGCTTTTTCTTATCCTGGGTCTCTAATTAAATGCAGTCATGCATATTAAGGGGAGACTAAAAAGTTGTAATAGATAGTTGTGGATGGGTGTTATCTGGGTGGCCTACTAGAAGCTGTCTGGAATCTCACCTAGACCTTATACCAGAGGAAAAACTGATCACTATCACTTCTCTTTCTCTTTCCTTCTTCCTTTTTTATTTTTTCTCTCATTTTTGCTTTACCTTATTAAAAAATATTTTTCAGTCTTCCCTCCCCCTCCTTTTCTCCTGTCTCCCGTTTCCTGCATATCCCATCTTTCCTTTTACTTTGTCTTTCCCATAAAACCGAATATTTTTAATGGAATGGAGCTTGTCATTATAAGACCTCAAAAATAACATTATCAGGCCCCATATCTGCCACTTCTCTGTTCCTGATAAACTTGTTTGCTTTTACACTGTGATTAGGCCTAAGGACAAAGAAAGTGTGACTTGAGTTCACACTTCTCATTCCACTTTACAAGAAAACCACTAGGTAACAGACAGAACCTTAAGAGACATAAAATCTCTAGCCTGGCAAAGGAGGTAAGGTGGTTTGTTATTTCACAAATTGTTTTTGTTTTTGAACCTGGGAAGTTGTTTTTGTGGTGGTATTGTTGGGAGTGCATTGCTAACATAGTGCTAATAGGTACTAAGGCTCCTATAGGCAGTGTGAGAACGGTAAGTGCTAAGGGTTCAGATCCTGCTACAGATAATCAAGTGTTGACTGTATGTGTAACGGTAATTGAGCAGAATCAGAGGGTGCCAGGTAAAGTCCTGAATGTGAGATGGTTGATATATAACCATATATTTTCAATGTATGGGTTATCATGTAATATTTTATTTGTTCTTACAGCCAGGTTGTCAAAGTATTGGCAATAAACTGCTAAGCAAAACATTTAAAAATTATGTGCTTAAAGTCATTTTCTTTTGAACATTTCTGAATTTGCAGTAATAGCTATTTTCAGTGGAGAAAATATTTGGACGAGTAGAAGAAAGGCGCATTAGAATTTTTTAAGGAACTCTCTTTTCAGTTTGCGGGTGAACTCCTTACAGTTGAATAATGAATGTATTTAACTCTTTTGTAGGCATCCTCTGGTATTACGATTCCAAAACCCCCAAAGCCACCAGATAAGCCGCTGATGCCCTACATGAGGTACAGCAGAAAGGTAGGCGCTTAGGACCTGGAAAGGAGTGAGGACACTGTCTTTGCTTCTTCTTTGCTTTACATCCAATTTTAGATTGGCTTAGCCAGCTTTTCTGTGCATATTCAGAGGAAAGGACCAAAAAACTACAGTTTTTAAAACAATTAGTTCTGATTTCAAAATTCCAGAACAAAATCCAACAAGAGGAGCATGATTAAATAAACTTTTAAAATCCTTAGGACAGAATGTTCTGTAGCCATTAAAGTCATGTCTTTTGTAGAATATTTAATGACATGAGGAATATGTTAAGTGAAGGAGAAATACAAGACTATATGAATTAATATCTTATTTTTATAAAAATAATAGCAACCACATGTTAGTTTGAAGGGGGAAAACACAGAAGACAATTATTATCTCTAAGCAATAAGCTTATTGTAGTTTTTATTTTCATTATATTTCCTCAGATTTCCCCCGGTTTTTTTTGGTGATGAACCTACATTACTCTTAAAATAAAAAAATATAGCCAATATCTTTATTAAAAGGCAGAGCATTTTAACCACTATCTAGAAATTTTAAACCTTTTGGTCTTGACTGTTATGTATGTATTTGATAATATGATGTATTGTGTTATGCAAATTAAGCATTTTCTTCTAAATTCACATGAACTTTGAGAGACATAGCCTGTGTTGTTGAAGTAACTCATCTTAAGCATCTATAGTGATTGGAGATATTCTTGTCTATCAAATTGAAGTATTTATAAGTGAGTGGCATGATGTCTGAGATCTGTCTTAATCCAGTAGGGGAAAGATGACATGAGATTGGCCAGCCATTGATGATTGTTGAAGTAGGCTGATGAGTACATAGAAATTTGATCCTGTTTTCTCTGCTTTTTATGTTTAAAAGTTTCCATATTAAAAAGAATTTTTTAGTGTCTGTACATTTAGACATCAGTATTGACATTTCACCTGTTTTCTTTTTAAGGTCTGGGACCAAGTAAAGGCTTCCAACCCTGACCTAAAGTTGTGGGAGATTGGCAAGATTATTGGTGGCATGTGGCGAGATCTCACTGATGA